TAGAAGCAACGATTACAAAACCTTAGTCTGAAACTTTAAGCAACCCACAACAGATTTATTTGGTGATCTTCATTACTGTTTTAAGAACTTATTCTAGGGTTCATTTAAGTATCTCAAACTAATACTAAAACATAGATATCCAATCACAACAGGAATTTAACACAAGTGCTAAAATAATTGGCAACAAGATTTCTATTAAAACTTTTAAGCAACATCAAACAGATTAACTCAATAGAAACAAAATACTGATTCAACATGCATACAAGATGAATTATAACATTCGTTGAATCTATTTTAATGTTTGATTAATTCCTGGAGTCTAACTAGGCATGCACAGAACACGAATTAACGGGAGAGAGAAGAACAGAGACTTGCCTGCAGTTTCAGATTTGAAACTATAATTCATCGTCTCTATAAATTCTGGCAATGTCAACTTGTTGTTATCAACCTCTGCCACTCCTAGTTAGGACCAGAACTCCTCCTTGAATCCCTCCCTAAATCTCCTAAAGTTTCTCTCAGTAAACCATACAAGCTCCCTCTCTGTTTCTCTACCCTCACAACTTTCTGAATGACTCTATTACGTGACTCTGTTATTGAAAGTGGTGAGTAGGGTTTATCAAAACCCTAGGCAGACGTATACCCATATATTTATAGAGTTATACCAAACCCTAAATTAATTCAAGCCCTAACTAAATCCTAACCGGCCCATAGAGTTTAATTAAAACCTGTGTCGGCTAAAACTAAACCTTAAATTATGAAAAAATAGTTAATTAAAATACTTCCTAAATTAAAACCTTTAATCATCAATTCAATTAAAGAAAATGATAAAGTCCAATCTAACGTAATACAGAAAATAAAATACAATGTAATAATTACTTAATTCACTAAATCACCATTAAACAACAAATCATCAATTATTGCAAATAAAACACCAATCCACAAGTTAAACAATTTAAAATTCAAACACCATTTAATTAATTCAAATAATACAAATAAGTCAAGTAAGGTAAATAATTAAAAAAAAAAAAAATCAATTAAAACATAAATTAAATACCAGGACTATCCTTTCGAAATTAGGGGTATTACATGCTACGTCTCTGAAAAGGTACTACCAGTAAAAGTAGAGTTTAATTTCAAGCAATATGTACGCTCTAAATTGCATGCTTGCAAGTGTACGAAATTTTCAAGCTTTATAAAAAATCTCTTCTTTGTTAAAAATTTAATTTACACTCTTCCCATTCAGCAAAGTTAGTGGCAGCTGGCACTTAAAGCCGAACGCCAAACACTTGCTCAAAAAATAAAGCCAAGTGGCAAGAGGCGTTTAACCCGAGCGCCAGGCATTCAGCAAGTTAGTGGCAGCTGGCACTTAAAGCCGAACGCCAAACACTTGCTCAAAAAATGAAAAAGCCAAGTGGCAAGAGGCGTTCAAGACGAGCGTCAGGCATTCAGCAAGTTAGTGGTAGCTGACACTCAAAGCTGAACGCCAAACACTTGCTCAAAAAATGAAAAAGCCAAGTGGCAAGAGGCGTTCAAGCCGAGTGCCAGGCATTCAGCAAGTTAGTGGCAGCTGGCACTTAAAGCCGAACGCCAAACACTTGCTCAAAAAATAAAGCCAAGTGGCAAGAGGCGTTCAAGTCGAGCGCCAGACATTCAGCAAGTTAGTGGCAGCTGGCACTTAAAGCCGAACGCCAAACACCTGCTCAAAAAATGAAAAAGCCAAGTGGCAAGAGGCGTTCAAGCCGAGCGCCAGGCATTCAGCAAGTTAGTGGCAGCTGGCACTTAAAGCCGAACGCCAAACACTTGCTCAAAAAATGAAAAAGCCAAGTGGCAAGAGGCGTTCAAGCCGAGCGCCAGGCATTCAGCAAGTTAGTGGTAGTTGGCACTTAAAGCCGAACGCCAAACACTTGCTCAAAAAATGAAAGAAAGCCAAGTGGCAAGAGGCGTTCAAGCCGAGCGCCAGGGTCAGGCATTCAGCAAGTTAGTGGCAGCTGGCACTTAAAGCCGAACGCCAAACATTTGCTCAAAAAATGAAAAAAGCCAAGTGGCAAGAGGCGTTCAAGCCGAGCGCCAGGCATTCAGCAAGTTAGTGGCAGCTGGCACTTAAAGCCGAACGCCAAACACTTGCTCAAAAATGAGTAAGAAAAGGACAGAATGGTGACATGGCTGAACGTTAAGCACTTGTGAAAATACACTGCAAAGCTGAAAATAGAAAACTCAAAGGAGGAAAGTGATGCTGAGCAAAAGCATTATCATTCATTACCAAAAAAGCCCCAAGGTACATAGTACGATACATGCAGATTTTTTTTTAAAAAAAAAAAAGAGAAGAAAAAAAAAATAAATAAATAAAAAAAATAAATAAAAAAATAAAAAACTGCTACTGGGTGTCAGTTTTGTGATCTTTTCCAGGCTGTAACCTGTCATTCTCGCCACCATCTTCCTTTGGACCATTGAGATCTTCTCCATTCTCATCTGCCCTATCATCCTTAGAAGGGGAGTCAAGATGAATCACCCCTTCGGCAGGCATAGGTCTGTCGGCAGTAACTGAGGAAGAGGGCACAATGGTAGAAAGGGGAAGAATGTTCAGGGGATGAAAGGGTGGGACAATTCCTGAGGATGCGACTTCTATGCACTCAATAAAAATATTCTCAGCCGGGTCACATGGTGGATTTTAATAATTATTTGGGGGGTGGATGTCCAGAGAAGCATCTAGTTCATCAGGACCAGCACAAGAGCTTGATTCACCTTCAGGGGGAGAACGGTCAACAAAACCGTCTCTGTACCCTTCAGCATACCGGATGGCACTGGTCCTGGTAAAGCGAGCAAAGAGAGCTTCATACCCCCTTCGACTCTGCCGATCATGTTCATCAGGGAAGACTGTTCGTTTAGGAGTTTTTCCTGGGAGTTCGCATGAGACAACCGTTCAGCAATGAATGAGCGCTGAAGGTCTCCCTTTTCGGCTTTGAGAGAGTCCCTTTTTGTCAGAGCCACACTCTTCTCAGTTTTCAAGATATCAACCTCATCATAAAGAGAATCCCGTTCGGTCTTCAGGGAATCCCGTTCAACTCTGAGGGAATCCCTCTCGTTTGCCAGACCGTCTCTCTCTGCCTTTTAGTCAGCAACTCCCTTCTCTGACTCCCTAAGCTTAGACTCCAGCTCAGCAACTCTAGCCTCAAGAAGATTCTCTGCTTCAACAAACCTTTTAAGGCCCACAGAGAGGGATTTAAGCTTTTTGTTCAGAGTTTCAATTATTTTTTGAAAAGTGAACATCTCGAATAAAGTCTGCATGAAGAAAAAGAAATTCAGGTCAGACTAACTACTAAGGAGTCATAACAGAAAAGGAACACATTTCAGTGAAAGAAGAGTCACCTCCATAGCAGCGGTTGGGAACCGTTGGAACATCTCACCAAAGGATAGCTTGTTCTGGATTTCAAGGTCTTTGGGGGTCCAGAAACCCCTTATAGAAAGCAAATGAGGTGAGGGGGTCCTTGTATATTGAGTTAGTGGGGCCAATGGTTGATCCATCTTCACGGCTGAGCAAAGGTCGCCATGGAAGAACGGATGGAATTGGACCAGAGGTTCTGGCCGACTCGCCTTCAGGAATGAAGAACTGGGCAGGGGGCGATGGTTCAGTAACCCTGAAGGAAGCCGTTCTGATCCTTCGGGTCGGTGGGATATCACTCTGATCATGACCGCCCTCAGGCATTGGCCTTTTTCCTAAACTCTTTTCTGACAGACCAGCATTAGCTGGCCCCCCATTGTCTTCAGAATTTCCAGAATCCTGAGTGCTCTCTGAGGAAGTGTCGGACGAGATGTTTGAAGGCATAATGACGGGGGCAGCAGGACGGATCTCAGCAGTATGGCCCACAATAGGGTTCTCAGCATGGGTGAGCTCAGAGGGCGCATCAGCAAAACGGTTTGAGACTTGAATCACAGCTGGGGCAATTGCAACTTGCTCTAGGGCAATCGCAACTTGCTCTGGGGCAGAGACAGCAAAGAAAGATGATGTGGAAGCAGGTGTTGGTGATGATGATATGATAGCAGGAGCGTTAAAAGGGGTGGGAGCAGGATGCCTCCTTTTGCTGAACGATGGGATCTGAATGTTCTCCATTGTAGACCCTAAAAGAGAGATGTCAGAGAGATTATCAGATGTAAGCAAATCAGTAGCTGAAGGGACATTGTTCAGCACACTTTCTTGCAAGGTATCTAGCCTAGCCCTGCAGACGCTATAAACTAGTTCATCATGGGGAATTTGAAGGCATCTACAAAGAAAAGTGCAAAAACGGGGAAGACAACTTTCACAGTGGCATTCGGTAGGATGTGTTTTTCAGCTTTTTGTAGCCAGAGACAGAACATGCTCCAAAAGAAGAAGGGATAGTGAAGGATTGGCCGAGCAGAGTCTGCCAATTCCCTCCAACCACAATTAAATTTCGTCTCTAACCTTTTTCAAATGAGTTTTTATTAGTGCAAATCGACCGTTTGTTAATAGGAAAGAAATGACAGTACAAATCATTTTGTGAAATCTTGTTAATCCGATAGCAGAGGAGAAGGTCAATAATGTCAAGATTGAGACCCCTATCACAATTCAAGAGTAGGAGGACTGAAATTACCCTAAGAAAGTTTGGGTTAACTTGTAGGGGGCAGAGCCCCAATTTGTTGAAAGCATAACAAAAGAACGGGTGTAGGGGGAACCTAATGACGTTCAAGTGAACGACGGAGAATAAAACTTCCCCAGGAAGAAGACCCTCACCAGATCTCTCGTCTAAGTTTATTGGGTAGACTCTCGGAGAAACGTCGCGAGGAATGTAATTCTTGGATCGAATGGCGTTCAGGTTAGGGGAAGCCATAAATAAGGGGAAGAGTCCTAGGCAGTAAAGGCATCTTTTTAGGAAAGATTTAAAAAAAAGACTAACCTTGAAAGTTTGTGATGAACTCAGCAACGGCACGATAGCTAAAAATCGAAAAGGAAGGACTTGCCGGAGAAATTGAAAAGGATCGCCGGAATGTGTAGGAAAGCAACAGAGAGTAGAAGTGAGAGGTAAGAGGAAGGGTGAAGGTTGAAAGACCAGAATTTATAAAGAGGAGAAGTAAAGGCGACATGGAACTCAAAAGGTCAAGGCAAAAAGTGGCGCTGCAGATCTCGAAACTTGGGTTTTTGTGCCAGCCGTTCGATTCCTCGAGTCATTGCTCCAAGCCGTCAGACCAAGATCATGTCCTTTCAACAATCTCACCCTCATTAATGAGGAAAGAGATTATTGGGGGCAAATGAGGACACCAAAATGACCCGGGTTTGGTGTGATCCGCATTGCAGAGGACGGGTGTGATACCCCTCGATTCTAGAGCCACGGGTGATCAAGTCCGAGCACAGAATACAAGGGATATCAAACAATTGATATTTAAGCAAGCATTGGAATACAAGATGAATTAAGAATAAATAAATAAGCTGAAAAGAAAACTAAATAAATAATCCTCAAATAAAAATAATTAAAAATCCAATAATAAAATCCCCCAATCCTCTGATACCAGTGATTAATTAAACTACAATTCGGGAATCCATATTGTGGACCCCTAATAATATTCTAACTGAAATAAAACTAATAATTAAACCATAAAGAAGAGTCCTACGTAGAGTCGGAAGAGTGAATGACTGTCTCTGCTTGGCACGAATAATCTCTAAGACTGGAACTGACGAACACCTGAAAAATAATGGTGGGTCAGGCCCACATACAAGTTCTAATCTACTACATCCCAAACAGAGACCCGATACACGTACGCATCCTAATTAATTCAACAATATCTAAATAGTCCATATATAGATATATACACACTAAAGGAACCTCACTAGACTATAGAGTTGTCTTAACCTGAATAGTAAGCAACATGCAAAACGCACATATAGTGGGCATGAGTACATAGGCCTACCAGGGTACACAACTACACTATATCTAGCTACACATCCCTGGCAATATACGCACCCTAACCACTGATCCTGAGACTCAAGCTCATATCATGACGTATAATTATATATTTAAAATCCGTCCTATCCAACCATCAAAATAAACTATCCAATTATTATTTAATAAAAATATGTCATCCAACTATTCCGTTGACCTGACATGAATAAGTATGACTTAACACTATGGTTAATCCGTTCCCTTATTGAAAATAGGTAGGACTTAACTCGTAAGTTAATCCGTCCCTAATATGCCCCCATCCCATAATGGTGCCACCATGGTATCAATCATATACGTCGTAAATAAATATCTAATGAATCTATTTACATTAAATCATGAAATCCACTTCTTAATGAATCTATTTATAAATATTCGATATTGATCCATCAACTAAAAATCACAATATTAGTTTGATATCTCAGCATTTAATCAGACTAACATTTAAAAATATTTTATGCCAAAAACATCTAAACAAAACAAAATGAAAAGAAGACATACATAGAATAATTTAAAAAAAAATAATTTACTTAATTACTCAATCCAATCCCATAAAAACATTTATTTTCTTTTTCCCTTTCCTCGTTCAGTGTGCATGCTTTATGAGAAACCTAAATTACCAATGTCATTATATATCAACCTAATTCTTCATTACAAAAATTCTCACTGACCCTGTTCGGCGTGCCGATTAAAAACAAAAAAACCAAATATTCCATCACAGCACAATCTGATTCATATATGCTAGAAGTTTATGTTTTATATTTATATTCCGTAAAGCAATTATCAATTTATTATTGACCTCCTCGTTCGGTGTGCCTACATATAAAAAGTAAATCTCTAATTTTCCTCACAGGACAAACGGATTCACGCTAAGAAAATTTTATGTATAAAAAAATAAATAAATAAAGAATTAGTCACCACGTCCAGTACAGCGCCACCAACGGTGCCCAATTTATGTTAAAGATCCTATCAACCAATCTATGTTCTAGAATTGTCCCAATTATAATTACACAATATATAAACACGCCTTGAACATCATAATTACAATCTGTGCATCAATTTATTACAATATAAAAATTCATCACAGATCCATTATAAAAACACATGAACTGAAAATTTTAAATTAATTTATGTAATTAGATCCAATTAATTTATTTACAAAACCTAGAATTAATCTAGCATGCATAGAGTATGAATCAAAGGAGAAGAGAAGAGTTTAGAACTTGCTTTTAGGGATTTGATAAAAACCCTAGCCTCCTTCTTCCTTTTTCTCTTCCTTCTTTCTCTCTCTAAAATATAGTACGTGATATATTTTCTAACCTCTTTCACAACCCTATAGGTATATATTTATAGGCAACTAAAATAACCCTAATTCTTTTCCCAATCCAAAACAAACTAAAATAAAATAAAAATAAAATAAAATAAAATAAAATTTAAATACTAAAAAAAAATAACCTAAATATATGTTACGTATAATCTATGTGTGATCCTTTTTATATGTAATATATAAATATATATTAGATTATTTCTAAAAGACTTTCCTTATATGTATATATATTTATTTATTTATTAAATATACATATACATGGGTAATTATCCGTACCCATTAAATCCCTTATCTAAGTAGTCCGTGGAGCCCAATTGGTTGGTCCATTACTACTATCCATATCCAATTCCTTAAAAATATAAAATAAAAAAATAAAAAATAAAAAAAATAAAACAATTAAATCAATTAACACATTTAACAAATAATTAAATCAATTAAACAAGTAAACAATTAGCCAAGAAATCAACTAAATAATTAAATGCAATTAAAATAAATTTTTAAAAAAAATACCGTTGAAAAAAATACCGAGACTATCCTTTTAAAATCAAGGGTATTACATTCTTCCCCCCTAACAAAAGGAATTCCGTCCTCGGAATTCGCCCTTACCTTCTTCCATTATATCGGGAAACTGTGAGCGAATGACATCCTCTTGTTCCCAAGTAGACTCAGCCTCACTATGGTGACTCCACTGGACACGCACTAACGATATGACTTTATTGCGAAGGACATGATCCTTACGGTCAATAATGCGACACGGTGGCTCCACATATGTTGCATCCGGCTGCAACTCAATCTCTCCCACATCGATATGCTGATACCGATCTTCATCTCGCAGAAATTTTCGCAACATGGAAACATGAAACACATTGTGCACTCGATCCAAATGATCTGGAAGTGCCAACCAATAAGCTACAGCTCCAACGCGATCGGTAATCATAAATGGACCAACGAACCGTGGTGATAACTTCCCTTCCTTCCCAAAGCGCATTACACCTTTCATAGGAGACACTTTGAATAGAACCTGATCCCCAACCTGAAACTCTAATGCACGAGTACGACGATCCGCATAACTCTTCTGCCTACTCTGGGCAGTGCGCATGCGATCCCTAATAAGAGCAATCTTCTCAGAAGTATCCTTAATGAACTCATGACCCAAAAATCGGCTCTCGCTAACCTCCATCCAACAAACAGGAGATCTACATGGTCGTCCATATAATGCCTCAAACGGTGCCATACCAATAGTCTTCTGAAAACTATTGTTATATGCGAACTCCACCAGTGGCAAATACTCCTCCCAATGGCCCTTAAAGTCAAGGACACAAGAACGAAGCATATCCTCCATTATCTGATTAACCCTCTCAGTCTGTCCATCAGTCTGAGGATGATAAGCAGTGCTAAGATGCAACTCTGTACCCAAAGCCTGCTGAAAACTCTTCCAAAACCCTGATACAAAGCTCGAATCCCTATCCGATATAATAGATAACGGAATGCCATGTAATTTCACAATCTCTGTAATGTAAAGTTTCGCCAACTGTTCCGAAGTGTAATCAGTGCGAATAGGTAAGAAATGAGCAGATTTAGTCAACCTATCAACGATGACCCAAATGGAATTGTGATTCTTAAACGAGTTAGGTAATCCCTCTACAAAATCCATAGAAATGCTCTCCCATTTCCACTCCGGTATCGGCAGTGGCTGTAGAGCTCCTGGCGGCCTCTAATGATCAATCTTGACCATCTGACAAGTACTACATCGTGAGACAAATAGAGCAATGTCCCTCTTCATACCTGCCCACCAAAACTGCCACTTCATATCCTGATACATTTTGTCACCTCCAGGATGAACTGAAAACTCAGAGTGGTGAGTCTCAGTCATCACATCCTTCCTCAACTTATCAGCAGAAGGTACCACTAACCGTCCCTTGTACCTCAAACCTCCATCAGCCCCAACATAGTAGAATGGAACCTCTCCGGAAGCTATCTCTGCAACTTTATCAATGCACTGTTGATCCGTGAGTTGTGCCTTCAAAACTTTGTGAATGATAGAAGGTGTAACTACCATGCAAGCCAAGAAAGCATCCGACAATTCATCCACCCTCTTCAACGCATTCCACTCAGTAGTGAATAGAGTGGAAAGACTACCAACAGGTCGACGACTGAGTGCATCTGCCACCACATTCGCTTTCCCTGGATGATACTGGATAGAGAAATGATAGTCTTTCACAAACTCCAACCATCGGCACTGTCTCATATTCAGCTCTCGCTGAGTGAACAAGTACTGCAGACTCTTGTGATCACTAAATAATCTGAAGGATTCACCCAACAGATAATGCCTCCAAATACGTAAGGCAAAGACCACCGCTGCCAACTCCAAATCATGTGTTGGATAATTAAGCTCATGAGGCTTAAGCTTCCGAGATCCATACGAAATTGGTCGCTCCTTCTGTATCAAGACACATCCCAGACCCTGCAAAGAAGCATCTATGTAGACAAGATACTCAATCCCGCTCTGTGGGGTAGACAAAACCGGTACAGAAGTCAACTTAGTCTTCAGTTTATCAAAAGCTTTTTGATAATGTTCATCCCACACGAACCGTACACCCTTCTTAGTCAGATGAGTGAGTGGTCCAGCTATCTTTGAGAACCCCTGGATGAACCTTCTATAATAACCTGCCAAACTGAGAAAACTCCGAATCTCGGTAGGTGATGTAGGCTGTCCCCACTCAACCACCGCTGAAACCTTGGCTGGATCCACCGCTATTC